TGTTGTTGTTGGTGTTGCTACGGTGGGTACTGCGTATACGGGAGTTGCTACAATAAAAAAGCGGGAGGGATGGATCGGGGGGAGGGCGCAGCGCCTGGAGGAGGAGCAGGCGGAAGAAGAGAGGAGAAGGAGGAGGAGGAGGAAGAGGAGGAGGCGAAGAAGAGGAGGAAGAGGAGGCGTAGGAGGAGGAGGAGGAGGAGCAGGAGGAAGAGGCCAAGGAAAAGGAGGAGGACGAGGAGGAGGAGTTGGAGGAGGAGGAGGAGAAGGAGGAGGAGGAGGAGGAGGAAAGGAGGAAGAGAAGGAGGAGCAGGACGAGGAGAAGAAGAACAAGGAGGAGGAGAAGGAGGAGCAGCAGCAGGAGCAGGAGAAGGAGGAGGAAGAGGAGGAGGCAGCCGACGCCGAAAACACCCGTTACCGACGCAAAAAACACCAACCGTCCCAGAAAACACTGTTTGCCGACGCGACAAACCCCGGGGCCGTCGCAATAAACACCGGCCAACCGACGCAGAAAACACCGTTCCAGCACCGACGCAAAAAACACCGGTACATGTGCACCGTCGCAAAAAACACCGTTTACCGACGCAATAAACCCGGAGCCCCTGGAAGGCGCTTTCCGCGGGGACACCGGGGTTTTGCGGGGGGGGGGTGTTGTGCCACAGGTGACGCGAGCTGTGGATTGGAAGAGTTTCAGGTGACACGAGCTGTGACTTAGGACACAGATGTGGAAGAAGACGAAGGCATGTGAGATGTTTGAAGATCGGAAGAAAATGACAGTTCTTTTTCAGCAGCTCCACGAAGAACCCTTCCTAATGACAGGGGGTTTTCTTCGAGAAGCTCACGTAGAAGGAATGCTTGGTCTCGCATCACATAGAATGCGACTATACAGTGTCGCCGGCTCCTCTGTGCTCACCACAGGTGGTGACAGCGCCAAAGCGCGAGACAGAAAGAGCTGCGCTCACGCCAAGCTCGCTGTGTTTCAACACGGCGGCCGGCGGCAACGTTTGGAGACTCTTTCATGGTCCCGAAAGGAACGTGGACGTTCGCTTTCATTCGCAAAAGTGACAGCAACACAGACCGCCTTCGATCCTTGTCTTTGGGACTTGGAAGAGCCCAATGATGTTCTCACGCCCAACATCGCGGGGTTTGATCGCCGGTGCGGATGTAAAGACACCAAATTCAGTGGCCGTGTGGGCCCTGTTGGAACGTGAGATTCACAGTCGAGTTTGTACAGCATTGGAAAAGGATAGAAAAGGTCACAATTGAGCATTCAAGCAAGGCCTGATCAAGTGTCCAAAACGCATGTCCTGTCCAAGCGAGTCGCGCAAAGTATTCGCGGGTCGGTTTGGTGGGGTTCAGAGGCTTAAGGAGATGAGCAGGCTGAATTAAGCCGCTTATGGCTTATGTCGCTTATGTCTGGCCGCAGAATGTCAAGAAGTTCAGAGGTTTTTGGGTTAAATGAAATGAATGTTTGGCTGCAGTCTTGAACTTCTTGACCAGGGGAGTGCGGCTAGTAGTGTGGCTTTGTCCTTTTGCAGACCTACAAGAGAGTAGCACCTCTGTGGCGGGATGACTTTGGCTTTATCAAACCCACGGTCCGGTCCGATCCCTATTTCTGACGTCCGACAGGCTTGGTGGCTGGACGGACCATGTCGGTCTGTATCTCTGATGAATCAGACCTCCAAGGATTCCAGTCGAGGACGCTTCAGAACTCGAAGTCGCTTCTTTCGAACGCCCCGCCCCCAGCTTGTTCACGGAGCAGTGGCCAAGAACCGCGGGCGGTGCACCTCCTCCCGGCAGCATCTTAGCTCCACACGCGCTCGTTTCCCCCGAGCACGCGCTCGAAGTCGGTCGCGACCGCTCGCCCCATGGCGAAGCACGGCTTCCTGTGGCTGGCGGCGCTGGTGACCACGGCACGGAGCTTCCCCTCCTTCCGGCACCACGTGCCCAACGGCCTCCGAGTGCCGTGCCCCAGCGGCGCCACGGGATGCGACCTGGGCGATGCCAGTCTGGGTGAGCCGGACTCGGTGTGCCGTGGCTTAGGTGACCTGGCATGGAGGTTGGGGGGAAAGAGGTCAGATGCTGTGGAGGAGTCGGGGCATCAGGATCTGTGAAGATATTGAGATTATTCACGATGATTAACAGGATGCTATGAGGATTTATTAATTATATATTATATATATATATATTAAGATGTTGTCTGATGTCTGATGTCTATTTGTTTGACAAATGAGACGTCCACATGTTCGTTGTTGGGAACACATCCCGAAGAACGGACAGTGGAATCCAAATGGGGGGCTTGAAATCAGACGTCAATCAAGAGTCGACATGATCATGGCACCACCACCAATTCCTGAAACCCCATGTCGCACCACGTTAATCAAGGCCACGCAACTTGCGCGGGTGCCTCGATGCCGCTGAACGTCTTTGGCGAGGCGCTGAAGGCGAACGAGTATCGCTGGACGGAGCAGCTGTGCATGGCGGATAGCGATGGGGATGGCCTCACCAATGGCGAGGAGAGATTTGCAGGGATGGATGAGGGCACAGGAGAGCAGGAGGCCACAGGAGGGCACAGGCTGTGATGGACGTTCGCTTGAGAGAGTTCTTGGAACAGACCAGGTGGGATGGGGGATGGACGACTCGAATGGACATGGTGGATGGGATGGGCAGTGGTAGCTGCATGGGTCGGCAGTTTGACGGATGGGTGGTAGGCGAAGAGACGGATGGGCCTTGTTTCAGTTTTGAACTTGGGGCCCTGGCGCTTTGGGGGGCTCGTTTTTGCGACCACACCCGTCGGTTGCTGGGGTAGATCCTCTTCCGTTCCATCTGTGCCGTTCGCAGTTGACCACCTCTTGTGGCCCCTTGAGATGGAAGCCTTGTGGCCGTAGGAGCTTGGAGATCCCTGCTGTGCTTGGAAGGAAGGCACCGTGGAGAATGAGCGATGCGAGGGTTTTTTCGGAAGCTCTGAAGTGGAGGATGGAAGCTTGATACCCAACGAACAGAAGCGGAAGAACTGAACAGCAAACACGACCTTATTTAGCAATCCCAGTCGGTGTATAAATCTCTTGGCTGAAGGGTTCCAGGGTTTCAGGCTTTCCGCTGAGGATCATGTTTGCTGCCAGATCCGATGTTCTCTAGAGCAAACCCTTCGACCTGCCAGATCACCCTTCGAAGTTAACGCCCGGTCGCCCTCCCAGCGCCTTCCACCCGCGCCTTCAACCCGCGCGCCCCGCCGTCGGACCGGGCGGCGCCCCAGGCGATGGCGCTGCGCCGTACATGATGACGTGGACCCCCAGCCACCCCGGCATGGCGTCGGACCGGCCGGCGAGCTACAGCAAGCCCAGCTGCGATGAGACGACGCAGCCAGGGTTCAGATCACCTGGCATGGCACGCTTCAATGAGGGAGAGGAGAGATTGAATGCTGTGTGGTTTAGGAGATATAAAGGGAGTTTTGTGGTCAGAGTAATCTAGTTGGCTTTAGGCTTAGCATTGGGATTTTTGTTGACACAGCATGGATTTACGACACAAGTTTTATCTGTCGTTTTTAGGGGTTTCTGTGTGTCACGAACATGGGTGTGAAGAGTGTGCATTGTTCCATCATTTTTCTATCTCATTTTTCTTCTTCTTCTTCTTCTTCTTCTTCTGAGAGAGAGAGAGAGAGAGAGACGTGCATCTTTAAACATGCCACAGTGCCACAATGCGGATCGGGGTCTGGTTGGGTGCGGGGGTGAAGCGGACGCGCCGAACTCGCTGAAGAACGAGCTCCACGTAGACCTGCGCGTTCGGATGATCCGAGGGCTGGGTGGGGTGCGGTGCTCGCGGAAAGCAACGACTTTGAAGAGTGAACAGCCTGGGCCGTTCGAGAACGGAACTGCAACCATGCACGGGGGACTTGTTGGCAGGGAAGAAGGTTGCTTTCCAAGCTGGGACTCAAAACCGTTGGTGAAAGAGATGTTTGCTCCAGACCTCCACTTTTTTTGTGTTCAGAGAAAAGTCTGAGAGCACATTTGCATTGTGAAAAACAGATCGAACCGCATGTGAAACCACAGGGCCGCACAGGAGAACTTGCCTTCAGACGCGTGTTGACCCTAGGCCCTAAGCTGTCTGCTGTTAGTGTTGCGTCCTTCGTACATTTCTTCATCCTTCAACAATTGACAATATAAATAGCTTGCTTGGACCGTCCCACCATCTATGTACGAAAACGTCACAGGAGCAAAGGCATGTGGACTTCCGGGTGAAGGACTATCAAGTTCCCGAAGTCCGAACTGAATATGCCGACTTTGTCTTCAACTTTGATGATGAGGAACATGACGCCTCTGAGATGAAGACTGCGCGAAACTGGCGCAGGGTTCGTTTTGGTCTTTTCTTGGCATGGGCATGGGTTGTCATACCATTTTCCGTTCGACTGAAGATGGTATTGTTCAACATATCCACCTGACCCACCTTCGAGTGGCTGTTTGGAACCTCTTCTTTGGGGAGCAACGGCAGCAGCGACGATGACGTCGGTTCCGGAGACATCGGAGAGGGATATCATAGACTCATGTCGCTTTGGTTCGAAGCTTCTCCACATCCTGACAGGTTGGGGCCCATCTGACAGGTTGGATCCACCCGAACATCGCACGGCTTCGGATTTGAGTCCCACATAGGTTGAATTGGTTTCCAGAAGGGCAGAATGGTGCTATTCTTTCCCGAAACGGTTTCTTTCAACACTGGGAAACGGTGAAGGCCCTTGGTTCTCATTTGGATGTGTCCTTCGTCTCTGAGTGGTTGTTTGCTTGTCCAGTGTTTCTTTGCCTCCTTGGAATCGGTGTGGGACGTCGTGCCGATTCCGTGCAGCTGTTGTTAGGGTTCTGTTTTTGGAGCATGTGCCTGCACCACAGAGTTGGTCAAGGGCAGTATTGTAGTTTTGGTGGTGGTGGGCGCGTGCAACCCCATCTCTTGCCTCGACAAGCACCGTAAGCAGCAGACCAGCAGCAGAAGGTAGCGTAGCCTTCACTAGCGCGGGCAGGTCCTGTGGACTGCCTGTGTTGTTGTCCGTGAGAGAACGCCCCCCCCGAAAAAAGTGAGAGCGGGTACTTGTGGCAGCGTGCTTTTTGGCCCATTTGGTATGACAAATGGATTGTTTAAAATAAATAAACAAACATATATACCTAACTCAATTGTAAGTTCATTCCAATTCAGCGCCAATTCAACGCTACACGCATGCTAGTTCAATTTTCTTTCAAATTCAATAATAACTTAGAAGTTAATTCAAGTCCAATTTATATAACTCCATTCAAGCCTAATCTCAGTTTGTTAAAATGGAATGTGGACAATTTTATTTCGAATTTAATTCTTGTTCAATTCAAGTTTGATTCTTGGTCAAGTCTAATTCCAGAGGGCAGGTGTTGCTGGGGGTGTGCGTTTAAGACAAAATGCTATAACATTATGTGTTTACAGTGTTTTCTTGCCCTGGGAGTGCTGGGAGCTAGGTCAAAACACTGCTTTTGAGTAGACAGATAGACTTGTTCAAGTAATATTTGGAATAACCATTTCTATATTGAGAAAGCTTTGTAAAAGCGTGCATTTCAATAGCTGTCCCCCAGATCTTTGGGCATGATGAATTGTTTAAAGATTATATATAGAAGCTGTGTATTTCACAAGAAAGGATCTCTGTGAATAAATATTTTCATATTTGGAAAACTTTGCACAACCATATATAAAAGTGTTTTTCACAAACTTACCTCCAGATCCCTGGGATTGATCACTTCTATATTGAACAGCCTTGATTGAAAGCTGTCATTTTTATAGTTTTCCTCTGGATCTCTGCGAAAGTAGATTTTCCAGAGATGTGTGTTTTCATTCATTGTATGCAATATATACTTATCTGCCAATTGAAAAACCACCCCTTTTATGGAACACATAAATACAGGCCCCATGGGGCAAAACCAAAAACACCTTGAGAAAGCACAAAAAGGTATATTTTGGGAGTCTTGACTGAACCCCCCGCACAGAGGACAAACGTCTGACACAAAATGCAGAATCTTCTGCAGAGTGCACTCCTGGCAGTGTAGTTTTCTTGACAAAGGTTAACAGAGTGCCCTCCTCGCAGTGTAGTTGTCTTGACAAATCTTAACAGGGTGCCCTCCCGGCAGTGCAGTTTTCTTGACAAATGTTGACCCAAAAGAACACACATTTGCGAGGAAACTTAACATTTGTCAAGAAAGCTGCACTACCAGGAGAGCACTCTGTGGAAAATTTTGGACCCTGTCGACAAACACCAAAAACAAAACAAAGCAAACAAACACAAAAAACAATGTTTTCAGAGGTTTGTCCTCTGGGGGGGGGTTCAGTCAAGACTCTCCGAAATATGTTTTTGTGTGTTTTATATTTTTACCTTTTGTATTTTTCAGTTTTTGTTTTTGTTGACATATTTTGTCAATTGGTCAGGCTTTCCTGCTGGATGCAATTGTTGTACAGCCATTTTTGGCAATGCAATTTTCTTGGCAAATGTTGACTCAAAAGAACACAATTTTTTTGCAAGAAAACTGCACTGCAAGGAGTGCCCGTAATGAAAAAATAGTCAGAAGATCCTCGTCAAGGCTGAAACGGCCAAGCTCATGGCGGTTGAGTGCGAGCAGAGCGCAGCCAAAGCCGAGAGTCCGGGGCCAACCCCGCCATCCGATTCCCACCAGCGTTTCCGCTCCATCCAAGCTCTCCAAAGCAAGTGCCGTGAGTTGGGGCGCTTTGGGGTGCACCAGGGCCTGATCGTTTTGGTGCTGGACGGCATGCTGGCCGTACTGAATTCCTCTTCGGATGCCTGTTGCAGTGACGGCAATGGCAGTTCTAGCCGCCCGGTTCTTCAACGTACAAGTAGGACCAGAGGAGTCGGAGCCTTTTTGGCGCCCTTAAGACTCTCGCCACCTAGGACCAGACAAGCCTTTTTTGCTCCAGGGGCGCCTTTTTGGCCCTGGATTTTTTCTGGCCAGTGAAATGTGCATCAAGTGAGGTTTCCTTCACGGATGCTTCAGGAGACTTGTGTGGTTGCCTGGTTTGGACAGAGC